CTTAGTTTTCGTCAAGGTATCCATTCCATACACTTATTTTACTGTACGATTGGTTGACATGCGCGGAAAGTTTTCCGAAAATATATAACATGGAGCTATAGAAAACGAGACATTGTGCGAGGGTGTTGTGGACTTGTCTGAGAGCGGTGCCAAGTGGAGCTTATTTTTGTCATTTCCCGGTAAATATGAAGCCACTGCAGATTTATATGTATTGATTCCTACTCTATTTTTGATACTCTACAAGATGGCAATGTCCATTTGCTCTATCTCCGTGCGTCGCTCTCGGTAACATTAACCCACAACTTTTTTATTATCAACTTGCTAAGGTAATACCGTACATGAAAAGTGTCTTGTTTTCAGCCATATTGTCCATTAAAGGTAAATTTTATCCTGTACTGCATGGTTGTGGGAAACAAACTATACCCGTCGCTCTCGGTAACAAATACTCAAAGGTAAACCCACCTTTCAGATTGAAGTAAAAATGATGTTGCAATCACCGATACCTGCGTAAACCTCCAACACCGTCACCGCTATCCATCAAAATCCAGAAAATTGTCGTGGATAGTCTGTGCAAATGAGGTGGCGCAGGACTAAGCAGTTCCGGAGACGTCAGGGCTTCGCCAGCAGAGGGGGGTTAGGACTGCAAAACGTTTTAACAGCAGTACCGAAAGAAGAGGGGTGTATATAAAAGGAGATTGAAGAAAATAAAAACTCTTAAGATTAGCAATTCATTCATTGCTTATCAAAAACAAATTTAAATTCAATGAACCCAAATTAAATCAAATATGAACATATCAAATACGAACAATAGACACGAATACAAAAACAAAAATACAATACTTGATGTTTCTTCCTCGGCTGACGGAGATTGACTACCCGCCACGGAGGACTCTCAGTCGGGGAGAATTATCAGGGAGCGAATGGGCAATTCAGCCCCCAAAGTGCCCCATTTCCTCGGGCAGGGCAGCCACTCCGAACATAATAGGAGGTAACAGCAATGGCAGATCTCTCGGGGTGGGCGGTCCTTAACACCCCAAACTAGCCAACGAACTCCGCCCACCTTTTTATGCCGTCTATCCTCGTACCGTTGTTTAAGGCTGGGGATGACAGATGGTTGATGGATGATCCCTACAGTATGAAAAAGAATGGTAACTGTATCACAAGATGATAACAAAAAGTGTGATGAATGTAAAAGATTAATCGATAATCATAATGGTGGTTTTCTGGTCACTATTGACCAGGAATGTTTTCTCGGTCTACTTCGAGCTTGTTTGCCTTCTGTTTTATCACTTAAGCTGGGGTTTATTATTGTCTTTACGGAATGCATGTCCGGGGAATTTGAGTTGATATACATTCATACATACACACACACACACACACACATATACATATATATATTTATGTAAATATTTTTGTATATATACATATATATATGTATATATATAGACATACATACTTATTTATATATATATATATATATATATATATATATATATATATGTATATATATATATATATATATATGTGTGTGTGTGTGTGTGTGTGTGTGTGTGCATATATATACAAATTCATATACATATATGTATATATACATATGAATATATAAAGATATATGCATATATATAGACATATAAACACATATGAATAAACACTTATATATATACACACACGCGCGCGCGCGTGTGTTGTGTATGTGTGTGTGTGTCTCATTCATACCTTTTCTACATGTGTCACAATGAATACAGTTCATCACACTTGTCATCACTGGCTCCAAGCCCGTTCCTGAGCTCCACACATCAACTTCCGTTCCACCTTCAGCTCCGTCCCCAAGCCTTCTCTTTCTTCGTTGTTTCTGGCATTTCTTTTACGAATTGTCCTTCTCTTCTTCTTCCACTGACTTAGGTTATCAGTCCTTCATTCCCTAGGATAGTCTAGTCAACAGTTTCTTTATTGGATTCATTTTATTTACACATACCGGCAATTTTCAATTCGATTTCTTAATTTGTCTTCCCCCATTTGTTGTTGTTTTTCCTTAATATACTCGTCGCGTCACTTTGATGTGAAAGCCTATACATGGTCATAAGCCTTCCTCTTTCTTACTCTTTCAGTTCTCTTGAGAGTCATTTTATTAAATACTGTATGTGTGTGTGTGTGTGTGTGTGTGTGTGTTTGTATGTGTGTGTATAACGGTCCAAGTGTTGAAAACAAAAATCATGTGTTCCTCACTAAGTTATGATATTAGCACGAACTACTCCTGTGTGGAAAAGTATGAATGAGAACAGGATGTATTTAGCTCGGTTTCGACTATATTTTCTTTAGAAATAGATGTATTTCAGAAATATATATTTTGTGTTGTGAAGATATTTATTTTTCATATTATACGCATGTCCAATGAGAACTGTTCATTTACTTTCATATCCCGTCCCTTAAGTTTATCCGCCTCCAGAATGCCCAAATACCCAACCTTCATCAGTTTCTCCAAGAGATTCTACTTTCTCAT